CTCAACGCCTGCGGCATAACATGTAATCAAAATCAGATCCCAATCGAGACACTCATCACAATCGCATCCAAAGGCATATCAGATGAAAGTGTCCGACAATTAAGAGATGAGACAATACGTGATTTTAGACACAGTTTGGACACAATATTGAGTGAAACAAAACCCAAACGTATTAGACATAAAACCAAATCCTTTTCCCTGAAAGACGTCTGGATTTTATTAATGAGAACTTCATTAGAAGTGTATTCATACAAATGGATACAATTAGTGCTAAATCTGATATTTATATCAATAATGTCTTTATGTGTGACTCTGTCTTACGGCTCAAAAGTGGGACAAATGAGCGATTGTTTCACTTTAGGTGTCAAAGAAAATATCACTTGCTTTGAATCAATGGATAAAAAACAAAATGCTTACTTCAATATGATGTTAATTATGGTTAATCATTGGTATTGTCAAACATTTCAATGCATTATATCCATGCTATTAATGTACGAACAGTTTACCCGTTATAAGCATGAACACAAAAACGGTATGAATTAAAATTTAATTAACTTTAACTGTTTAATAGTTAACTTTATATTACACATAATTTAACCAAGATCAATTAATTTAATGTACATGTTTATCTACAAATTGTCCCCTCATAGGTTGGTATAATTCGGGTGCATATCTACTAAACCAAAGTGTATACCATTTTATCCCAACCACTATTAATGCAATAACTATGGGTTTGATTATGTTTTTTGTTGGAAACCAATTGAATGAATGGCAAAGATTTTGGCCATTTCTGTGTCTAAACGTATTAGCATTGAATCTAATCGACTGTTTGTCAGCACTTTTTGTTACACTAATACCAAATGCATTGATATGTTTAATGATTGGGACACTACTGGCTATATCCGGACCGCTATTTACCGGCACTATTATCAGTAACCTTGATATGAATCATATGATTAAGGTATTAAGTTATTTTGCCCCGCTGAGATGGCCTGGTTTAGGGCAATTGCTATCGATTTATGGTCTAGATCGATGCCCTGAGGGGCAAATATCACAAACATTATATTTATATGACCTGACAAATGATGAAAGTGTCTGGAAATATATGTTAAACGCGATTTTGTTGAGCGCTTTTTATAAACTTTTGACATTAATTGCTTTAATTGTAAATTTAAAACAATTGGTGAATTATTTTACGAAATTATTTCCAAACAAACGATTAGTAAATAATACCGGAATTGTGGCCAATTGTGAAACACATTCAATATATTATGATTGCATCGAAAGTCGAGTAAACATTTCAAACAGTTTTGATAATAATATGAATGAATCAAACGATTTGTCAATTGATGAGGAAATATATACCGAAAGGCAACTGAGTATTGCGTGGATTGACATGACTTTAAAGGTAAACAAAACTGTGTTTTCGTCCGAAAAGTTAATATTGAGAAAAATTAAGGGTTTCGTTGAATTTGGGTCAATGTGTGCACTAATGGGTCCGTCGGGTGCGGGAAAGACATCACTTCTCCGCTCATTGAATGCCATGAATAGGAATTTAATGACAAAAGATTGTAAAATATATTTATCCAACGATAGAGAAATCAGGACTTGTTTTATAGCTCAGGACCAAAGGGAACACATTATGAATGGTTTGTCTGTAAAGCAAACACTGATTTATGCGTCAAAACTGAAGAACGGATCCACTGGTGATGTTTTCGACCACGAGTTGAATGTCTCGCAACTCATGAAAGAGTTAGACATTTGGGACATAAAGTCAATAAATGTGGAAAAATGCAGTTCTGGTCAACAAAAACGTATTGTAATGGCAATGGAAATGACGGCTCAAATCAAACCAAATCTTATATGTGTTGACGAACCGACTTCTGGTGTCGACAACTATTCAGCGCTTTTGGTATTTATTATAGCTTTTGATAATAATTATGGAAAATATTTTTTAAATAATATTTATTTCTGTATTTATCACAACAGATGATACAATGCTTTATGAGATTATCTCAAAGACATAATCTGTCAATCATAACAGCCATACATCAGCCAAACCTTGAGATAATAATGACATTCAATATGTTGTATATCTTAGCGAAAGGCGGTCTCACTGTATATACGGGTCGACCGCAAGATCTGAGACAACATCTAAACGATTGTCATATCGTTTGCACTGAAAATCAAATACCGATTGAAGTGTTGATGAAATTATGTGCCAATGGTTTCAACGATAAGACAGTCATTGAGTTATCAATGAAAACAAATGAAGACATGAATAATGCATACAATAGTAGAATAGATTCCGAACTTAAACTATACGCGAATGGGATTCCCATTAAAACCAAATGCTTTTCAATACAAGAATTGAAACACTTATTGATGAGAGAAATCACATTCACGTTGCGATACAATTGGAAAATAATAATATCTTTCTATTATTTAATGTTAATATGTTTTATATTTGCAAAAATGTTGTTTGCGTTTGATTTGGACGGAGAGAGCAGTTGTGTCGATATGTTCACAAACAACACATATTGTGTACAAACATAATAATATCTTTCTATTATTTAATGTTAATATGTTTTATATTTGCAAAAATGTTGTTTGCGTTTGATTTGGACGGAGAGAGCAGTTGTGTCGATATGTTCACAAACAACACATATTGTGTACAAACAGAGCAAACATTGAAAAGCGAGCGAATTATACAATATTACACGAATTACACGTTATTTATCGTCATGATATTTTTGGTGATACAAGCAATGTACGCGTCGTTTACCTTTTCAAATCATCTCAAAATATTTGTTCATGAATATAAAAATTGTGAGTGAACTATTTCACTTATATTAGGATATTATTGGCATTTTTGTTATTTATTTACTATTAATTAAACGCTGGAAATAATTGTTTAATTGTTTGATTTAAACTGAAAATTTATACACTATTGTTAATTATATAACAAGTAAGCATTTTTATTCTCACATAAAACTTGTGTTTAATTGTTATGGTATTTAACGTAACAAATATACAAATTTTTATCTACCGATTTTAATTATCAGTTTTAATTATTTAAAAATAATTTTTAAAAACTATATTTATTAATTGCTGGTATAGTCTGGTACAGTACAGAATCGTATTTCATGGTGAAAACCCTAATTGATTTGACACCAATAATAATATTTTTGATGACATTTGTGTTTGTTTGGGACGTAAGCAACGGCTCTGATATGAAAGCCGTGTATTTCGTCGCCCTATCGCTGGCCGTAATATCGACACAAAGTATTGGCCATATATTGAGCATAATGTTTGGCGAGAGAGGGGTACTGGTACTGGTGTTTACCATATTTACATGTTACCTGCTATCCAATACAACTTTGCCCATAACAAATTATGCCATGTTTATTCAACGTATCGTCAATATAACAGTTTTAAAACAAGTTTATGAATACATCTTATTATACAAGTATGGCTTTGACGGGTGCTCTCCCGCACAGGTGTCGTCCGTTTTGCACAGAATGATGATTACAACCGATAGTTACGATAAATGTTGGCATTTATTAGTATTTCAGGCCATTTCCTATTTTATTCTATCCTATTTAGTGCTTAAATTTAAGGTTAATTAT